AGATCAAGCCCAAATATTTCTTGGAGAACAGGTGAAAATATTAACAGTAGTTGCCCTGGCTACTTATCTTGCCTTCAGCGCCAACCGGACACTAACACTAAGTGTATATAAGTCGGACTAGGCGGGAATAATACATGTTAAAAATGAAATGATTGTTTTTCCTCTTTTCTGATCGTTACAGCCAGCAAGTAATAAGAAAACACGCCTCATCGTTATCGATTGTGTTGAGTACAGTAATGGCGCGACTGAAAACAATGCAAATAGTCCATAGTGTTTGTTTGTAACGAAATGAAAATATCAATTTAATTCCTTGGGAACGAACTACATACTTTGAAAATATCGATCTTAAAGTAGCAGTACATGTGAAATTAACAAAGTCTTCGGCTGTTTTAATCGATAGTTGCGCTATTTCTTTAAATCTGGCTTCACATATTGTAGGTGTAACCAAGCGGGGAGTAGAACTAGAACCTGCAGCGTGACGAGCCAACACTACATTGACTGGGCTACCCCATCACCGCCAAATGTAAGGGGAAGCCAAAACGAGGCAATAAATACACCAAACACAATTCTAATAAGAATTAGGACTAGATCACGTGATAAGACAGCATTCGCTCAGCTAATGTGAATACACTTCTAACCAGACCCAGATAATATAATTACCCTTACACATCCACAGTCTCTCTCTCTCTCTCTCTCCTCTCTCTCTCTCTCTCTCTCTCTCTCTCTCTCTCTCTCTCTCTCTCTCTCTCTCTCTCTCTCTCTCACACACACACACGGGAATATTCTAAAACGGAAGATATAAGCATTAATATTTACTTTTGTAATATTAGTAAGACATTTCTTGACACAACAAATTTCGACGAAAGGTATGAACACTCCGCTGACTCTACCCACCCGCCGCTGTCTTCCGGCTGCACCGGATACGCCAGTAATCAAACTATAAGATTGTCACAAAGAAAAAAGTTCCGAGTGGAATCCTCTTCACTTTATTTCATTCCATCTGTAAGTAAGCTATGTAGGACAGGGATAGGTTTGAAGGGTCGGCGTTCCCTTTATCAGTTTCTTGCCTTACATTAAAAATCTGTTGGATTTGTGGCCTCGATGCTGTTGTCAGTACGCTTGTACGTGAATCAATACCGGGTTGTAGTAGATGACAGCACCACACGATTCGGATCCCGACATCCAGCAGCCGTATCTGTTGATATTGTCAGCTGGCTACTCGTGTCTTTCCTTGATGGACACATACCGTTAGACCCGCACAGGATAGTAATTATACCGAGTAAGGGCTGAAGAGCGCACATCACCGCCCTGATCGAGCCCTCGTGATGCCGTGGATTGGTCGGGGTGTAGGTAATGTCTGGTTACATGACGTCTTGATAGCCGACATCCTCGATTATCGAGAGGCGGTGCGCCTGTAGCCTTTTGTTGGCAGTGCTCGCGGCAGCGGAGGGGGCAAAGACGCACATGTTCCCGGAGTGGGCGCTGTGCACGGAGAGGCCAGCAGTGATCAGGGTGATAGACGCCCTTGTTCCTTGACCCCCGGCAATGGATGCTGACCTCACCGAGTGGTCAGATGGCCAGTTTGGCCTTTGGTTGCTTGGAAACACCGGAATTAAATGGCATCAAGGAATCGTATCGGCGATGGGAAGATTGTGTTTCTGAAATCGGTGTAGTCGCAGAAGCCGTGTGTTTGGAGTTCTGGAGTTCGGAGAGGACTGCCAAACGGTAACACACTGCTCTGCTACTGTTGTGGGGAAGTTCACGTGTTTTCTCAATCACTGGGTGTACACTCGGGAGCGCATGCTCGTGTGTCGTCATATCGTCAGCTGTGGGTGGAATCATTAGTTGCTCCAGAAGACCTGGATTCCAACACTAGCGTCCCGCTCTCTGTCTTAGAGAGAGGGAGTGACAGCGGATCTACCTACCTTTCTTTATTTCATCAGATAACATGTTTCATATGAATTTCCTGTAAACAGAAATATCTGTGTCCTGAATTCACGCGGAAGGTCGTCGTTAAAGGGTGAGTTTTCTGGTTTTGTTTCGGTTTTATTCATATAATATTCCAGTCACGTGCCTGTATCAATGGGAATATGAAACGCGATCAAATTAACAAATTTTACTGTTTTTCTTAATTATAAGTTCTGCAATGGTGAGCGGCAATTTTCTCTACACCCGAAATATAAATGTGTGTAATATTATGTCTTTTATAACTGTGGCGATATATCGTAGTATCGATAATTGTGATACTTTGTTTGATGATAATTATGTCGATACTATTTTTTGTATCGTGATATTTATCGTTGACCATAAAATTGATGATTTTCACTAGAAATTGACGGTTATTTCAAAATTTACACTGTTACTTGCTATCAAAATAATACTATACATTATAAAAGAAAATTACTAAAGATATCATATCATCATCATCGTTTATATATTTATATTTTTATTATTGTCATTAGTATTACCCTCATCGTCACCATCATCATCATAATCATTTATTTTAAGTACCATATAAAACATGTGGCCAACGTATTTCATTGGCTTCCTGATTATACACTGTCTGTAATCTGACAGTTTCATGGTAATTCGTGATGCCGTATCTGGTACAACGCCTAACACTGTCTGTCATGACTAGGCAGTGGTATTAAGTGATAATCACCATCCTGCAGGTCAGCTCGGATTGGTGACCATCTCGGTATTGCCACTGTATCACGGGTGTGTTTGTGTAAATATATAACCTCTTTAGTCCGGGAGAGTGGGATGGGCTTAACGCAACTATTACCAGTATTCCACTGATGTCACAATGTGCTGGTGCACTGTGGGGAGAAAACCCGAAGTAGGCCAACTAGTAGATGATGGTTGCCAGGCGCGTAGCAAGCCATTTATTGTCTCGTAAGCCCGAAAGGTTACAAAGCTTCATGTTTAGATAGTATTGCGAGCTTGCCTTTTAACAACAATCAAGTCCGGGTTTTTTTTAACTTATGGTAGCTACGCCATTGGTTGCCGACGTTTACCACTTTGTTGAGACTCGCGAGCTTTGGTATGGAGCTGACAAACCATGAACAAACATCGGAGACAACCGTGGTTCGAACCCACTATTCTTACTGCCCAAGGGACGCAACTTCGCACAGTGACTTGCATCGTCTCAGACGACACGTGACTTCCGTCCTCACCGCCTCCCACCAGACCCCTCCACTTTCTTCTCTCCCATCTGAGACCACTCCTCCCGCTCCGCCTACCCCACTCCAAACCCACCCGTCCAGGGGTGGTGGGGTAGCCTAGTGGATAAAGCGTTCGCTCGTCATCCCAAAATGGGTACAATGTGTGACGCCCATTTCTGGTGTCCCCTGCCGTGATATTGCTGGAATATTGATAAAAGCGGCGTAAAACGATCCACTCTCACCCATCCGTACCCACCTTAAATCGCCCCACATATTAGGTTAATAGGAAATCCGACCACCTGTCATGTTCGAACTGACACCCAGGACGTGTCGAGTTTGTATCTAATCATGTAACGAAAGTGATACATGCTATCGTCACTCCCACGCTGACATTAGTAAAGTGTCCTCAAGCGTCTCACCTGTCTTGAAATATATTTATCTCACCTGAGAATATTACTGTTAGGCACAGGTAAGTCAACACGTGTCTCCTTTTGTAGATGACCTGCGTTTGTAATCGGAGACAGATGATGTCACAGGTTCCCGATGAGTGAGTGAGTGAGTGAGTTTAGTTTTACGCCGCACTCAGCAATATTCCAGCTATATGGCGGGGTCTGTAAATAAACAAGTCTGGACCAGACAATCCAGTGATCAACAGCATGAGCATCGATCTGCGCAATGGGGAACCGATGACATGTGTCAACCAAGTCAGCGAGCCTGACCACCCGATCCCGTTAGTCGCCTCTTGCGACAAGCATGGGTTACTGAAGATGAATTGTAACCCGGATCTACACGAGTAGGGACCCGATGACTAAATCATTACCTAAAGGGTGGGACTTGTTTCTATAGTCGTCGTCCAGTATCTAGACCTACTCAGTGTTGGAATGGATAAAGGCGCTCTCCTCTATCTTCCACACTACTTCGTATGTAATTACCTAGACTTGCACAAGTCTCTAAGGTAAAAATTTATAGTTAAATGATAATTTCTAAAGAAATTAATAAACAACAGACTGTGCTGTCCGCTTACCTAGACTTGTCTCTTCGAAGAATAGAACTACTATACCTCCATGGGCTCACCATTCAGTACAGCCGTGGATCAATGGCGAATATGTTACTCTCCACTAGATTTTATTTTACTAAACTACTCTACCCTAAAATGCATCGTACAATGTTCTTGAATAGAAACGGCGTTTCTAATGATAATCAATGTTACTACAAAAATAGACTGGAGTTACCTCCACTACAGGTTCTACATCCTGGAACTGCGTTCATCGTACACCTTCACGTGCTCAACAACATCACCCTGCAACATCACCTTCGGAAAACACTCTCCTGGGATGCAAATCCAATTTGGTTTGGCGACAGCCATATCGCACAATCTCTGTGACTCACTTTACATTCTTTTATCCATGAACAAGTGTGAATTTTGTGGAATACGATAAGGAAATAAGCTGTGGTATGTTTGAAAGTATTTCGATTTTACAACGTACGGTATTGACCTTCACACGTGTCAACTTCACTCTGGTCTTGTAGAAGCTGGGACTCTTTCATCATGTAGTATTTCTGTGTTCATAATTTCAGCAATGTCGTGTCTAGAGTTTGCTGGACATCACCTATTCCAGCGTACCCTACTGGGTACTGTGTGTATGAGTGTAAAGATTAATACGGCGTGTTGTAAAATGCGTTGTTGATGCACATAGAAGTTTTGCTCTTTTGACCTCTGACCTTTATATAACCGCATAAACTGATGATCCCGCACTTTCGTCATCTCTGGACATCTCTGACATTTAGAGTAAATGATCACAGTAATGAGGAACATTTAAACATGGCCGCCACGACAGCCATTTTGGAAATGTCACTCGGTACATAAGTGAGTTGACTCGTGCTAGTCAATGTGCCTATGGGACGGACGAGGATGTTCAGTGACTAAAGCGTTCGCTCGCCACGAGGAATACCTGATTTATCTCAAAGTTGGAACAATGCAATACAATACTATTCCCTGGGACAGCATGGTGGTGATGGTGACGCAGTAGGTTGTTGGTGATGGTGACGCAGTAGGTTGTTGGTGATGGTGACGCAGTAGGTTGGTGATGGTGGTGGTGATGAGACATGATGATGATGATGATGATGATGAATCTGATATCTTCACCGGACAAGTATAGTTATATTTGCCTTTTAGAACCTGCTTGGAGACAGCTTTCAGTGACTTCTGTTCAGTTGCAGTTTGTCATGACTTTGTTCTATGCTGCTGAGGATCCGTACTCACATAAACACACATGGCAGCCTCCACTGTGACTATGAGTAAGGCTTAATTGTACAATATTCCTTTGCCTGACATGGTAGAGGCTCACCCAGCTATGGGTGTTGCTGTGCTGGCCGTAAGTCCTTTCTTTGTACTGCTCGGGTCGTACTAGGCAATAAGTCACTGTCAGATCTTACTCTTTCAGAACATGTGGTTCCACAAGTTTTGTACCACACACGTGCTGTTACTTCACTGGACGACCCAGTTGACTGACCTCTCCACGTGTCACTATACCACATCAGTTTTACACACAGGATTCATATGGCACGTTCTTCGTAAACAAACATTCATGACATCTTGAAGTAAAGAACAGTTGTTTATTTACTTCCACTGAAAGGTTTTCTTCTGTAGATGTGTATCTATATCCTCTCCACATAGTGTACAGTGTATCCTTTTCAATTCAAATTCGTCAATAATTTTAAAGGTAATTCAGTTTAATTTGCAAATTTTTATACCTGTAAGTAACCTGAACCAAACAATCCAGTGACTGACATAATGATTATCTGTCTCGGACCTTCTACGATGTATTAAAAGCAGGGCAACACCTCCAGTCATGGGACCGTCGTTTGAGAGGTCGAGTGGCTGGTTATGGTTATTGGAAGCTGCCCATAGCTGATCCGACGGGGAAACGTTTCTCTGTCCATCTGAGGTTGTTCACCACGTGGGGCAGTATTGTTTCTGTGTATAGTATGGTCGTAGACAGACTGGGATCCGTCTTACAGGACTTTATTGTATTATATCTATTGCGTTCTCGACACACAGGGATTAGCTTCCGGTCTGTTGTATGTGACAAGACTGTCTTCTTAATGGCCTCGTTTGAAAATTGAGTGTTAGTTAGTTATCTTGACAATGACAAGAAAAAGCAGATCCAACAACTCACCTAAAAATCATGAAGGATCCAAGGGACAAGTTGACTTTTTTTGTTGATTTAATTATATTTTCTATGACATATTAGTGTTTTATGAAGCAAGATATTTTTGCCTCCCCCTCACCCACAACTTCTTTGTATCTCCCAATCAAACTGATCATTTTATACACCTCGCTATTAATAATAACAGGTCTTTCTGTGTTACAGACACCGTAACCGGCTTTATTGGAGATGTAATCCAACATGGCCGCCCTATCTCCCATCTTGAAAAACAGTCCGGTTTTCAAGTACGTTGTTCCGTGCCTGTTCATCAGTCTGTTCGGCCTCTTGTACTATGTTGTGGTTTACACGAAGCTGGACCTCACAGTCCTTGTGCCGACCAAGTCGGCTTTTGAAAAACTTCAGTTCATTGCCAGTGGGTACACATTCTCCAATCAGTCACTGCATCTCTACGGATCATATATGTCGAAAGACGGAAGAGTGACCTCGCATAACGAGACCTTTATCAGTTTAGATAGTGATGTACTAGAAGGTATTCGATCTCGATACATTCGTGCTAAACAAATAGAATTTGAACACATGTGTCCACGGATTCACGTGACGTCTGTGAGCTGCAGTGCCTTATTTGACGGCGATGTTGTTGAGACTGAAAGGGTTAAAGCTGTAATGACAAAACAGACTCGACAGCAGAAACCAGCTGAGTTGTACATAGAACTGACGCAAAACTGTGATACATTCAAAAGGAAAAGAGGATACATTACCAAAACGCTTACGGAAGAAGAAGAGCACTTCCCGTTGGCCTTCACCTTGCTGATGTTCAAGGACGTGGAGCAGGTTGATCGTCTCCTGCGCGCAGTCTACCGGCCCCAGAATTACTACTGTCTCCACGTTGATAGTAAAGCAGAGGCCAAGGTCAAGGATGCCATGCGTGGAATTGTGGGGTGTTTTGATAATGTTTTCTTCTCATCACGATCTGTGGATGTTCAATGGGGAACATATTCTGTGTTAGAACCAGAAATAATTTGCATGGAAGAACTATGGAAGTATAAAAAATGGAAATATTTTATCAATTTAACCGGACAAGAATTCCCACTGAAGACCAACTTTGAACTGGTCAAAATATTGAAGGTGTACAATGGAGCCAATGACCTTGAAGGAACAGTTCAAAGGTCAGTAGTTTTCATTACTTCCAATTCTCAACAACGTGTTGTAAATGCATTGTTGCACATGCTGTCTTTCAGATAATTGTGATTTATTTCAGGAATCCTTGTCGAGTTTTCATGTTTTGGTAATATCATGTTTCTAATACCTTCTGGAACAAACCTAACCTAACCTCAACCCATGCGTACGCGTGCACACAGATATACACACATTTTCATTCCTATACCACCAATATACTATACTACCCTCAAAGACATCACGCACACACGCAATTGCGATGCTCATGATGTCAGTCACTGGATTGTGAGGTCCAGAGTTTTTCAAGGCTGGCGTTAAGTATCTGGTACACTGCAGCATTAGCAACAACTATAGTATAGGCCTCATCAAGCACCTGCAGACAGATGCTGCAGCATCTGTGGCCATATCTATCTGATTTGTTCAGTGAGTGAGTAAGGTTTTACGCCGCTTTTAGCAATATTCCAGCAATATCACGGCGTGGATCACCAGAAATAGGCTTCACACATTGTACCCATGTGGAAAATCAAACTACTGTCTTCAGCGTGACGAGCGAAAGCTTTAACTATTAGGCTACGCCACCGCCCCTGTTCACGACAGACACAATAAGGTTAATACACTAAGTTTAACTTGACAGGAACACGTTGATTTACGTTATGGAACCAGCGTTGTGTTACCATGGCATTAGACAGGAGTGATCTGTGACTCTTGACATGCACCCTGGCATGACCACACATATATTGTTTATGTAGTTTATAGAATATTGTCACTGTTTCTGTATGGAACGTTTGAACAATAAATATTTGATCACTTGATCTCTTGATCTCTGAACTGAGTGACATGGACACACTGTGATGACGTCCTTTCTATACATGCATGAGTGGGAATGAAGATACGCACCATTATCCTCACACACGATATAAAAGATAAAAGGGATCCAATCCAGTTCAGCCACGTTTTTCATCCAGAGAACAAACGCACCACCATTCATTATACGGTGAACTAGAGATATCTGTACATATTAGTGTACATAAGGGTACGAGGGTCAGATGTCATCTCGCTGAAATAAATCGGACTCGACTTTACCAGCCATCAAAGGAATGTAAGGGTAAACAGTAGTTTCTAAAAGTCCCGGAACCACATCTATCTCTCTCTCTCTCTCTCTCTCTCTCAATCAATTTGCATAGATAGTGTATGTGGTTTCACCCCTGTCTTGCCTTTCAGTGTTTTTTGTACCACCATGGCCTTTTTGTACCGCTATGTATGTGACACTTTATTAGCCTGTTGAATGGCAGCTAACAAGAGGGTTTTTTCTGCTCTCAGTCATGCATGCATGATTTCACGTGCTCAGTCACACGTGCTCTGTCACTCTCACACGTGCATTGTCACACTCGAACACGCACCGTCACACACGCGCACACACAGTCACACGTGCATATGTACCGCAGTGAGATAATGATGTGTGATTCAAGGAGAGAGTCGTGATCCTAGTCTGTGGCAGATTAATGTCAACTGTGACAACAAGCGACACTTCCCCTACACCCAACTAAACGACATATTGTAGCTGTCAGGTGTTTCTGCAAATCAAGGGAATTTAAGGGAAACTATTCTGTTTAATTTCCCAAATTTGAAAGCAAAGCATTTTGAGCCATAAATGTCTCTTGTTCTACTAAAGAACTACAAGCGACACTTCCCCCTCTCTCTCTCTCTCATGATGCCACGTCTACAGACATGACTTGCACCTACTGTTCATTCCTCCAGGCCATCTCATCAAACACTCTTCCACGCATGTCCGCCGGAGCATGCCGGACAGGGTTACGGACAGACGCGAGTGATGAGGGATGCGTACTGGAACTATGTTCAGTCACGTGACTGTCGTGTGAACTCAACAAATACAACTCCTTCAGGTGTTTCCTTGATGAATGTTGGAATCCGTCATCGTGGTGTACTACCATATCAAACTGTATACAGATTCCTGAATGTTGGAACCCTTCATCGTGGTGTACTACCATATCAAACTGTATACAGATTCCTGAATGTTGGAACCCGTCATCGTGGTGTACTACCATATCAAACTGTATACAGATTCCTGAATGTTGGAACCCTTCATCGTGGTGTACTACCATATCAAACTGTATACAGATTCCTGAATGTTGGAATCCGTCATCGTGGTGTACTACCATATCAAACTGTATACAGATTCCTGAATGTTGGAATCCGTCATCGTGGTGTACTACCATATCAAACTGTATACAGATTCCTGAATGTTGGAACCCTTCATCGTGGTGTACTACCATATCAAACTGTATACAGATTCCTGAATGTTGGAATCCGTCATCGTGGTGTACTACCATATCAAACTGTATACAGATTCCTGAATGTTGGAACCCTTCATCGTGGTGTACTACCATATCAAACTGTATACAGATTCCTGAATGTTGGAATCCGTCATCGTGGTGTACTACCATATCAAACTGTATACAGATTCCTGAATGTTGGAACCCTTCATCGTGGTGTACTACCATATCAAACTGTATACAGATTCCTGAATGTTGGAACCCTTCATCGTGGTGTACTATATCATGTATCAAAACCTGTATACAGATTCCTGAATGATTCCTGAATGTTGGAACCCGTCATAGTGGTGTACTACCATATCAAACTGTATACAGATTCCTGAATGTTGGAATCCGTCATCGTGGTGTACTACCATATCAAACTGTATACAGATTCCTGAATGTTGGAACCCTTCATCGTGGTGTACTACCATATCAAACTGTATACAGATTCCTGAATGTTGGAATCCGTCATCGTGGTGTACTACCATATCAAACTGTATACAGATTCCTGAATGTTGGAACCCTTCATCGTGGTGTACTACCATATCAAACTGTATACAGATTCCTGAATGTTGGAATCCGTCATCGTGGTGTACTACCATATCAAACTGTATACAGATTCCTGAATGTTGGAACCCTTCATCGTGGTGTACTACCATATCAAACTGTATACAGATTCCTGAATGTTGGAATCCGTCATCGTGGTGTACTACCATATCAAACTGTATACAGATTCCTGAATGTTGGAACCCTTCATCGTGGTGTACTACCATATCAAACTGTATACAGATTCCTGAATGTTGGAACCCGTCATCGTGGTGTACTACCATATCAAACTGTATACAGATTCCTGAATGTTGGAACCCTTCATCGTGGTGTACTACCATATCAAACTGTATACAGATTCCTGAATGTTGGAATCCGTCATCGTGGTGTACTACCATATCAAACTGTATACAGATTCCTGAATGTTGGAACCCTTCATCGTGGTGTACTACCATATCAAACTGTATACAGATTCCTGAATGTTGGAATCCGTCATCGTGGTGTACTACCATATCAAACTGTATACAGATTCCTGAATGTTGGAATCCGTCATCGTGGTGTACTACCATATCAAACTGTATACAGATTCCTGAATGTTGGAACCCTTCATCGTGGTGTACTACCATATCAAACTGTATACAGATTTCTGAATGTTGGAATCCGTCATCGTGGTGTACTACCATATCAAACTGTATACAGATTCCTGAATGTTGGAACCCTTCATCGTGGTGTACTACCATATCAAACTGTATACAGATTCCTGAATGTTGGAATCCGTCATCGTGGTGTACTACCATATCAAACTGTATACAGATTCCTGAATGTTGGAATCCGTCATCGTGGTGTACTACCATATCAAACTGTATACAGATTCCTGAATGTTGGAATCCGTCATCGTGGTGTACTACCATATCAAACTGTATACAGATTCCTGAATGTTGGAACCCTTCATCGTGGTGTACTACCATATCAAACTGTATACAGATTCCTGAATGTTGGAACCCTTCATCGTTGTGTACTACCATATCAAACTGTATACAGATTCCTGCATGTTGGAATCCGTCATCGTGGTGTACTACCATATAAAACTGTATACAGATTCCTGAATGTTGGAATCCGTCATCGTGGTGTACTACCATATCAAACTGTATACAAATTCCTGAATGTTGGAACCCGTCATCGTGGTGTACTACCATATCAAACTGTATACAGATTCCTGAATGTTGGAACCCTTCATCGTGGTGTACTACCATATCAAACTGTATACAGATTCCTGAATGTTGGAACCCTTCATCGTGGTGTACTACCATATCAAACTGTATACAGATTCCTGAATGTTGGAACCCTTCATCGTGGTGTACTACCATATCAAACTGTATACAGATTCCTGAATGTTGGAACCCTTCATCGTGGTGTACTACCATATCAAACTGTATACAGATTCCTGAATGTTGGAACCCTTCATCGTGGTGTACTACCATATCAAACTGTATACAGATTCCTGAATGTTGGAACCCTTCATCGTGGTGTACTACCATATCAAACTGTATACAGATTTCTGAATGTTGGATCCGTCTTCGTGGTGTACTACCATATCAAACTGTATACAGATTCCTGAATGTTGGAATCCGTCATCGTGGTGTACTACCATATCAAACTGTATACAGATTCCTGAATGTTGGAATCCGTCATCGTGGTGTACTACCATATCAAACTGTATACAGATTCCTGAATGTTGGAATCCGTCATCGTGGTGTACTACCATATCAAACTGTATACAGATTCCTGAATGTTGGATCCGTCATCGTGGTGTACTACCATATCAAACTGTATACAGATTCCTGAATGTTGATCCGTCATCGTGTGTACTACCATATCAAACTGTATACAGATTCCTGAATGTTGGATCCGTCATCGTGGTGTACTACCATATCAAACTGTATACAGATTCCTGAATGTTGGATCCGTCATCGTGGTGTACTACCATATCAAACTGTATACAGATTCCTGAATGTTGGATCCGTCATCGTGGTGTACTACCATATCAAACTGTATACAGATTCCTGAATGTTGGAACCCTTCATCGTGGTGTACTACCATATCAAACT